TTATTGACAATAATAATTAACTAATAATTCATTATAATATGAGACGTGATAAGAATATTGCTATAATTATAAAAAAAAGGAGAGATTATGAATATAAAATAACAAATATATATAATATTTACTTATTTATCTATGAAAACATATTAATAATAATAATAATAATAATAATAATAATAATATATTTCCACATTTTTCGTTGCTTCGCAAATACCAAAAACTCCGCATGCGCATTGAGGTTGCATTTCATTGGAAGCGCAAAAATACCTTGTTCATCGAAAAAAATTCCGACAACATTGTCCTTTATATTTCTAAACGAAAAACGTTTTCTCCCTAATTGTTTTGCCAAATGAGCGAAAACAATTTTCGGATCCGAGAATACGATGTACTGAATTAAAATGTAACAATAGACCCATCCCGAATTGGAATGGTTTCAAGTCGAGGTTGAACTTGATGAATAAAAGAATCAAGTTCAATCTCGACTTCAAACCATTGTTTCGTGGTCAGTCAAGCGAATTCGGGATAGGTCTATTGTGTCGTTCCGTGTTTTCGCAGAAGAGAGTCAGGTTCAATGACCACATGATTTGACAGTAATTTCCAATTCATTCGCATGATCACATGATCATGAATGTAAATTACTCACCCATAGTTCCTTTGGGGGGGGGTTAAGTCAAATCAAAAACACTCCATTCATCGATATGAATGCTGTATTCTGAAAACGATTTCTGTCAGTTTTTTAAACCTTCTTTCTTAGTTCGATAAACAGAACGCATTTTGGTATAGCTTGGGTAGCCAAAAAAGAACACCATATTAGACATGATGAAAAAAAAGATGTTTGTACCCAAGCTAGACCACAATGCACTTTTATAGAAAGATCATTTACGAAGTAATAAAACTCCTAATCGATGTTTTTGTTTATGACATTAATTACAGTTTTGTTGTGTTTCTAGGGATTTATCGTCCAATCAAATCAGCCGAATACCAAACGGTGCCTTTGTTGGGTTTGATAGTCTGGTTAACTTGTAAGTATCAACATTAGATAACATGGTAGAGACATTATATAATGCATAATGATATCTTGTTGATGAGAATGGTGATGGTGATGGCGACAATGATGATTCATGATAATGATGACTACGGTGATGATAATGGTGATGATGATATAATGATGATAAAGCATGGTGGTGGTGATGATGATGATCCATGACGATGATGATATTGCATTATGTTGATGAAGATGTGATGATGATTGTAATGCATGATGGTGGTGATAATGATGATCCATGACGATGATGATATTGCATGATGTTGATGAAGATGTGATGGTGATGGTAATGCATGATGGTAGTGATGATGATGATCCATGACGATGATGATATTGCATTATGTTGATGAAGATGTGATGATGATTGTAATGCATGATGGTAGTGATGATGATGATCCATGACGATGATGATATTGCATNATGATGATATTGCATTATGTTGATGAAGATGTGATGATGATTGTAATGCATGATGGTAGTGATGATGATGATCCATGACGATGATGATATTGCATGATGTTGGTGAAGATGTGATGATGATGAATAATGATGATGCGGTGCTACACGATGGTGATGATGATGATGATGATGGTGATGATGATGGTGATGGTGATGATGATGATGATGGAGATGATGATGTCACTTCCTAACCAATATCTTTTCGTAATCTTCCAGGTCCATTGCAAACAATGCAATCGAACAAATTAGCAATCAAAGTTTCGAGGGACTCACAAGTCTACTAAAACTGTAAGAAATATATATTAAACTGTTTGATACTTACCGCTAACGCGTAGATTGGGGTGGGGTGGGGTGGGGGGGGGTGGGACGTAGTCTTGTTTGTGAGAGGGGAATAGAAATTGCATTGACCTCTTCATCCCCTCCACTCCCTCCCCCCGCAAAATCGCTACCTTATTTTCCTTCYCTCCCCTCCCCTGTGAAATACTAGTAAATTAAAAATCTACGACGGCGACGTCAACAGGAAGGGGAAATAATTTATCTTTGGAGTTCTGTTCGTTGGAAATTTCGTTGGAGAAGACAGACTTTGAAGGCCTAAAGTGAAGTTACTCACGCTTCCAGTTGACGTCACCGTCGTAGGTTTATTTAGTAGTAAGTGTGTCGTGTTCTTTTATGGTAGTAAGTGTTTCCTGTTTACAAATTAAGTTCCCAACATTTTCATCGACTAACGGAGCTCATCACTAAGGAGTGTCTTTTGTTATGCTTCAGAGACTTGAAGTACAACAAGCTAAAAATATGGCATGGAGATTTCAAGAATCAATTGCCATTCCTTGAATCCGTTGACGTCACAGGAAACGTCACTTGGTTACCAAGCCACAATCTACTTGAGCTACCAAGCCTTCAAATAATCCGAGGCGTGGGCTGGAGTGAGGCTTGTAGCAATTGTGTGTTGGTGAGAAACAACAGCCAACAAGAAAAAGAAGTGATTGAAAACTTCAAAAAGGGAGAACTGCTCGAAGGACGTAAAGGAGACTGCCGCGCGATAAAACACAGGTTCTCCGATCATCTCAAACACTTTGCAACTTATGGGTTTTTTTCTTCATGTTTCGAGGTGAATACCAAGTGTTATAGCACGATGGTTGAGACGATACCAATCCACAGATGTTGGAATATGGATAATTACGTACTAAACTTGGAATTCATTATCGGGCCGATCGCTCTTGTTCTGAACTTGATAGTCGTCATCATCACACTGACCACGCCCAAGCTGTTCAAAAATGTCGCCATGTTGTTGGTTTGTAACATTGCCTTCAGTGATCTTTGCCTGGCACTTTACTCTATACTTATCACAAGTATTCGAAGAATTCCCTACGCCCAGTTCTACTCCATTATCGACTCCGTCTGTCCTTGTTTGGGTTTCCTGTGGACAATATCTCAGGCAAATACTGTCTTAACACTAGTCTTTCTCACTATCGAACGCTATCTCGCTATTATTTACTGCATGGCGCCTGACATACGCATGCGCAGAACAGTAGCATTGAGGTGTATCTTCGTCACGTGGGTGGTTGCCATGGTAACAGCGATACTTCCTGCAGTTGGTATAGGAGTATATACAGGGAATACGTACTGTGTACCTTTGAATCCGAGAAAAGATATTCCATATATGTACGAGTTCAGCATTGGTGCTACATCGGCTTGCATTATATTGTATCTCATTACGATCCCACTATATTTACATATATACCGATTTGTTAAGCGGAGTAGTTTAACGGGAGTTAAAAGAGAGACAAGCGTCGCCAAGAGAATCGCTATAATGGTGTTTTGTAACATTATGTTTTTCTGCTTACCAGTCCTTATCGGTCTTCTTTGGGTGTCGTGTAATTTCACCAAGGGAATGGACCCGATTATTAAGGAAATCATCACGGGTGTGGTGCCGACCATCTGTTTTACGTTGAACTCGATGATCAACCCACTTCTATATGCGTATAGGAATGAAACTTTCATGTACACTTTGAAAGGATGGTTAAAAGATGTGAGGGATATTGTACGAAGAAGAGCAAGAAGCTTGTCGCACTCAACCACCCTTCCCTCGCCGCACCAGACATCAGGTATAGAAGAGTAATCCACAGTACCGGTCAAACGCTGGATTTTCATTGCTCCCTAAGTACAGTACCGCTTTTGTGGGGTTAGGTTTAGTGCTATTGTTTAGATGACCAATCTATTGGTTTTTAATCCAATCATGTAACTCCTTCCGAGCGGTACAGGCTGGCTCGTATATATAGAAGAGCTAAATATAACTAAAAATGTCAAATAATCCATATCAAGTTTTGTTCCATACATTACTGTCAAAGTTGGAGTTGAGAAAGGTCACTCCACATATGGAATCATATAGTTCCATAATTGGATTGCGGGTCTTTACCCCGAGGTCAAAGAAGGCGGACAAGCGTGTTCGTCGGCTGGCGAAACGGCTGAGAGACATTTGCGAGCTTGGCGAAGACAAAAAATACGAAAAAACTACAAAAAATACGAAAAAAACTGGCAACAGCCTTCTCCCCAGTCCCTTTTTTTAAGACCGGGAAAGAGAGCTTTGACACTATGTCGAGACCAGATTGAGAGCTTTGATATAATAGTTTAATAATATATACATATGACTACACAACTACGGACATGACTCTTCAATTATCTGAGTGGTCAAACGCATGCGCATTGCAAATACGTATTCTAGTATCACGTTTCGCCCAGTGCCCTTATTTCTTACAGCGCATGCTCGAGGAGATAATTCTATTTTCGTCAAGCATGCGCAAAAAGAAAAAAGGGTCTGGGTACAAGATTGAGTCTAGCCCAGTTTACCTCCGTCTTAAGTGTGCGCTCGGGAACTGGACATGCAGAGAAAAATTAAAATATGAAATTCGAATTAGAAAGAGGTTTATCGTACACATAGACTGCGTCACATCCGGATAAATACTCGGTAAAGTGGGACGTGATGCAGGCTAATATATATTATACACGGCGAGTGAGCGTAATGTTATACCAAAACACATCAAGAGAGCATAATATTTATGCTCTCTTGAAAACATACAATAAGCCTGAAGCGAGATGACGTTT